GCTGCATCCTAATTTATATATTCTTATAGGTGCTCTTGTTAAATGGCAAACAAACTGAGGGCATTTTTCGTGTATCCGCCGATGTGGATGAGGTGAATTGCATGAAGAATCGCTTGGATCGGTGGGATGTTCCTGACTATAAGAACACTATGGGTCTGTTAAACTAAAATTCAAACGTCACTGCATTTATTTAATCATGTGTTTATTTCAACAGTTGATGCCCATGCGCCCGCTAGTTTACTTAAGTTATGGTATCGTGAGCTATACGATCCACTTATACCCGATGATTACTATGAGGATTGTGTGAATACTGAGGATCCCGATAAAGCCAAAGAAATAGTTAATAAGTTGCCACAAATTAATCAACTGGTTAGTTTATAACACTTAATTTTGAGTAAAATTTAAATTATATGTATTCTTTTTCTACAGGTCCTAACGTATTTAATACACTTTCTGCAACAATTCTCCAATCCGGAGGTGGTTACCTGCACCAAAATGGATTCTTCGAATCTGGCTATGGTATTTGCGCCAAATTGTTTGCGATGCACTTCAGATGATCCCAAGGTGATTTTGGAGAATGCGCGCAAGGAGATGTCCTTTATACACGTCTTAATACAGCACATGGATACAACGCATGTGACCAATCTGGTCTAGAGAGCTTTGATAGCTATTTAAAAAGAAAACGAACTATTCAAATACCAATGAGCATACCTATAAATATATATATATATATTTGGGTACATATATATATAAATATATATATATATATGTACACATATATATATGTTAAGCGTTATTAACCTATCCTAAACTTACTTAAATCTCCTATTTGTATTTATGCAAATTGAAAACGTAAAGAACTCCTAACAAACTCCTAACTTTAACTATACTAATAATTTTTTGGTACTCGAATTTTCTAAACTAATTCAATTAATTTTATTGTATGCTTAATTTTTAACAACAAATACTCCGAACTTTTGTCAGCATTGTAACGTGTAGTGCTTATTAAACCAAAAAGTTAAAATACAGATCTAATCCAATACAGAAGTTATAAAATATATATGAATTTCAAAACTTTAAACTTTAAACCGAAAGTACGTGTGAAATTTTAGAAAAATGTATTTATTTCGCGTCTTAATTTTACAAAAGGTCACACAAAACGCCAAGCAAAATACTCAAAAAAAGCAACTCTCAAAAGAAAAACTTGTGAAGCATATAAATATATAAATATTATAAATATAATTAAAAATGTACTGTAAACAAAAATGAAATGCAATAACTGATTTAATTCAATAAATAAAAATCTGCTTAAAATTCATATGCAGCAACATAGTGCTATATCTATATATATATATATATATATATATATATATATATGTATATATATATATAAATAAATATATTTATTCGTATGCATTATATAATAAATAAATGTTAAAAAAAGAGAATTCTGAAAATGCTGCGCAAACAATTTAATCAATTAGTTTACACGTGTAAAATATTTTACACAGATATATATATATATAAATATATTTGCATAAAACGCTGTAAGAACCAGACATCAATTGAACATATACACTTATATGTATGTATGAAAAACGCGAATGGTTGAAGCATGAGAATGAATAAAGTTATATAAATAAAGAGCCAACATATTTAAGTCTTAACAGGAATGATTGAACTTTGATGTATTGACGCCCCTGACGATCATTCAAAATGTAAAACATGCCAATTATTATAACATGTCTATCAATATCATATTTCTAAAGCTTTTTATCACATGGCCCACGGCGGTAATTTGAACAGACATCATAAATTTCGATGAGCTCTTCCCAAATTATTTTTGTTTCGTTTTCTTTATTATACTGGAAATTTATGCCCAATTTTGAAGTCGTTTCACACCGTTTGCCCACGATAATTGCTAATAATTTAGTGTCACTTGACGAAAGTTAAGCCCATCCAACGACATCCATTATCATTTATTTGCCAACTAGCACAGACAGCGATCAATTCTTTCGAATCGGGTGCATTTATATTTATCGCCAAGAGTCCGTTTGTTCGAATATTTTATCAAGGTTCTTATATTATTTGGTAATTTGTTTAAGTACAATTTGGGGGCTTGTTTATGCAGCAATCTCGAAGGCAGCGATTGTCATAGCATTCAATGCCCATAAGCACATTAAATACCAATTGTGATTCATGCCTTCTATAACTCAAAATGGCGTTAAAGGCCGTGCGCAAAGTCGAAATAGTTATGTTAATATATATTACAGTTATATTATTTGCCAGAGAGTGCATTGAAGTCAGAGTGAAATCAAGTTTTATGGGGAAAAATGTTTAGGTTAATTAATATTATGTGAATATGAGGTGTCAGAAAATAAAGATTTAGTTCAAGTTAAAGTAGTTGGGAACCTTAAAGGGTATATGTAAGCATTTAAAGCCAAATCAGCTGAGATGAATATTCAGAAATCAGATAATCAAGATAAAGATCAGATATAAGCAGCTGTCAAATTTTACAGGTAAATGTTAAAAAATCAATTTACGTTAATATTTTGCTCTCTCTCTAGCATAAAGCGCACAATTGCGAGAATCTAAACAATTCATTTTTCAAATTAGATAATGGCTAACTCTGGAATGGAACAGTCAATCTATCTAGCTTTCATTGATAAAAAAAAAGAAATGTAGACTACATAAGCTGCACACAATAAATGCCATTTCGGACTCGCTCAGGTGGATTTAAATGGGCTTTCGATAGCACATATTATAAAAATATCATTATCATGCTTGCTTTCATTCATAACATTTGGAATTTGGCAGTAAAATTAAAAAAATAAATAACAAAAATAGTTAGATGTTTACCAGTTGCTCGTGGGTTCCTTCTTCTTTGCTTTTATATCGCATATGAGCATGAGATTTCTTTTTGCCAACTGAACCAATTGAATCATCAATTTTGATTGCTTTACTACGAATTGTGGAGTCGTAAAAACTAACAAAAAACCCAATGGTACTCAGAATAGCTTATTAATTGATATTTACGGTGAAATTTTATGTTTTTTTATTATTTACCCGAAGTGAAGGCTTATCGGCATTGATTGAATATGTTAGAGTATAATTAGAAATTGAATGACTTTCGAATCGGCATATTATATGTGGGAATTACTGGGTGATATAATATGTAAGCATCTTCTAAATAATAACTTAAAAAATTGAACATTATTAGTTAGTAAATAACTAGGAGGATTATAGTTTCTTATCGAATAACATGCCTAAATATCATCAAAGTTTAGGGAAACAAATTGGAGCTATCACATAGGTAAGTGATATGATAATATTTTAAGAGCAAGTACAAATTGGAGTTTTCCAGTTATGCTCGAACAATCAATAGGAAATATATTCAAAATGTTTCTCATGTGCCAAGTCTCAAAGGTATAACATAAGGGCAAGTATAGAAGTTCTACTAAGTTATGATAATGAAATTGATTGTTAGCAGCACTCTTGGCTTTCCTCTTTTCATATTTGAAATAGTTAAACAAGCGCCCTCGAAACCACATATACGTACTTATATACTTGTATCTAAAAGATATAAACTGCGACCTGAAAACAATATCGCGCTCAGGTAGCAAGTAAATAACAATAACAACAATTAGGCGCATTTATTTTGTATATTTTATCACAAACGCCAATGCCCAAAATCAAAAGTAATCCATCATCTCAAAGGCTTTAAGGGTACCCCGACTACCCCCGGCTGATAAGAGAGTAGCAGCACCTCCCGCACCGCTCACCTTGTCCGGCCGCCTTTCAACAGTTATACAAACGCATAAATTGTTTCGAAAGTCCCCAAAAATATGGAACTACTAACCAGAGGCTCAATTCGTAGCACCAACTCGATTACTCAATCAAAAATGCTGGCGATGACGACATTTGCAGATCACAGCGGGGTGCAAGGTTCCGCGGGGGTGGAGCAGCAGTCGGTGGAGAGGTCGGAGGAGCGCCGAAATCGGTGAGAGCCTATTGGTACTTTTAATTTGTTTACAACTACAATAAATGAATGCGAGCTCAGAATGTGGGTGGCAGTTGGGCGGGTTGCACGAGTCGTGAGATACCCTACAGAAAGAAAGATTTTTGTAGGGCATCCTCATGTTTCGTAAGTCTTTTATAAATATATTTGATAATATCTTTAATATATATTCAATAAATAGGACACGATTTTGGGTTAACAATATATATATTTATCAAAATATAAATTTTCCTAAATTTGTATCTGTGCATCTGCTACTCAGCACTCGCATTACAGGGTATATCAGAACGAACAGTAGTTGAGCTACGAGGATGAGAACAACGAGCAGGATGAGTAGCAAGCAACAACAACAACTCGACAACGACAAACAACGACGTGTGAGCGATATCGATAAGCGGGTGATTAACAATTACTCGATCAAACAAAACGCCGACAGTGTGAGCGTGAGAGCGAGAGAGAGCGAGATAGATACACAGCTGAGCGAGATGGCAGCAGTGGACAGCCAGTGTTGGCAATGCTTGTGTGAGTGTGCACATATATACATATGTGCGTGTGTTTGTGTGTGTGTTTAATAAGTCCCGAGTGTTTTGATTTATATGACTGGTGGATCGGCTCGATTGGACTGAGGGCCAAGCCAACGGGCTGTCGAACCTACCTACCGGGAGCAGCCTTATCGATATGATGGTAGCCAACCCCCTCTAAGACCCCCTCCAGGCGCTCCCAATCATTATCTATGTACATGCGTATCTACATAGCGTCGGTTATATTATTGTTAATATAGATATCTATACCCATTAGCACAACATTATATGTATATGTACAATCTATTATATTCTGTGAAATCTGATTTAGTACAATTTATTGGGCCCAGTGCGAACGGCCAGTCCAATTAGTTCATCGTCTGCGCCCGTTCAAGACGCGTCGCCTCTCCTCGTAGCTCGGCGCTTTTTTCGAACAGCCATAGATCGACAGCGCTGACAATATGGATAATAACACAATTAAAGCGAATAGGTCCGCCTTCTCCATAGACAATATTCTGGAGCATAAAACACAGGCAACAGAAGTGATCAAAAAACCACAAGCTCAGACGCCAACACAGTCGAGTCCTTGCACAGCCTTTGCGCCGCCAGCTGGCTCCCCTGTTCAGTCTATATACGATCTGTCCGCACAGTATGCGCTAAAAAATCTGGAGTCCGGGTCGGGCACTTTGTTATCTCCGACAACGGTGCGCTTCAATCCCGTCTACTCAGATCCCGCCTCGTTGTTCTATCAGCAGATGCTAAATCTACAGAAGAATTCTTCGCTCTTCATGCCGCATTTCCAAGCCGCAGCGGTGGCAGCGGCTGCCGCAGCACAACCAGCCGCCTATTGTGATCAATACAGTCCGTTCCTAGACTGCGAAGGTGAGTCATATTATTGGATTAAATCGGATAATCTCATCTAAGATGGGGTAATCAAATAAATTAAGTTACTGTCGCAAATAAACTAAATCACATTGCGAATATGTTAATTACTTTCATTAAGGATTCCCCAATTATCATGACCCAAATAGTTTCTACAACATTCAACTATAATATAACAGTAAGAAAAGTTAATCAAGATATTGAGTTTTAAAGCATAAAGTATTATTGTCATCACTTTAATCAAGTATGAACCGCCTACGTCATACTCATTCATGGTCAAAACATTACACATTTTCGACGTTTCCACTGAGTGTTAAGTCCATCTGTATATAATGCTAACAGTGATTCACCTGGTAATCGTAGTTCTAAACTGTTAAAGATATCAATCTATAGAGTAGTTAATGACAATAAACACTTTTCAAATTAAATATTTAACGTTATGTTTTTTCCAATTTTGCCAGCAAACACAATTATATATCCCAAATGCCAGTACTTTAGCTTTATGCGGATAGACCAATATACGCTTTTCACTTCATAATAGAGTAGAAGGAGTTTGAGCTAAGTCCAAACCGAACCATAAATTTGCATTCCATTTAGTCTTAACTTTGAATTCCTTCAAGCTTGGTCAGCCACCTGAGCTCAAGGCCTTTTCTATATCCTAAACCCATTGAAAATGGCAAATCAGGGTTCACTGTTTTTGTGATAAAAGGAGGCGTGGCAGACCCCATGAAGTATATATATATTCTTGATCAGGATAAGGAGTTAAGTAGATTTAGTCCAGTCCGTCTGTCCATATGTTTTCAATTACTCTAGATAAATGAATACAGGGAATTACCTTATACAATCGGAAGACAGTCCAATGTTTAGCAGGCTTCAAAAAATATGATTGCATATCCAATATCAAAGTCCAAGTCTCTAGTGTCTGTTTAGACAAATGGCTACTGAAAAAGCTATCATTCGATCATGCAGTGTTATGAAATACCGGATATGAGTCAGCGCACTTATAATACCCATAATGAACGAGCGATATAAATACATAATTAATAACTTAGCTTAGGTAAAAGTCCAAACTATAGTATCTAATAAAACATACCCAATTTGATAATAAAAATCATTGGGCATTCGTAAAAATCGAAAATTTACGTTAATTAAACTTTGACTTGAGATATTGAGAAGTGTGTAGTTTATAATATTATACATAAATAATATATATATAATAAATATAATATATGTAATATATAAATTATAATATATAATGTTGGTGTGAATTACATTGATTATTAGTTTAAAAAACATTTCTCCTGTGATCTTTGGCCTCTTCACTTATCTAGAATTCGAACCCCTGTAATAAGAAATACTTTTAAAGTACAGAGGTCTTAAGAGCTATAGTCTTTGCTGCCTTAAGTGTTGACACGACCAGGTTCAAGTCAATGAACTTGGATTTGTCAAGCCCTCGTATGCCCATTGAATCGAGTCGTCCCATATAAAATATATTCATCATGCAAACTACATTTAAGTGCGCATCGACCTTCATTTACAATTTGGACGCATATTCAAATGCATTTGGAAGACTTTTCCCACACCAGCGTGGGGTTACCGAAAATTGAATGGTATTACAACTTACCCCCAGCGTGATTAATGTGCATTGATGTTTGTCAAAGTCAAGTGTTGGCGCCAATGGGCACTTCAAATAGCCTGCACTTCCCTAACCGCTGCACCGCCCACACTCTATATGCATTTTACCAGTGCCAGATTAGCTGGCTCGTCTGGGCTACGGATCTACAGTCGGTCCCTACCTACCTCCCCCAAGCATATGCCTCAAAAATATCAATCCCCTGTCGTAGCCTCAGTCATCATATAACACACACTTTTTTCGGGTACCCCTTATCGAAATGACAAATATTTGAAATTGAGGTGAGAGTCAGACAAGCAAATGGAGCAAGTATGACATATCGAGTTAACACTGTGACAGAGATACCCTAGAAATATATATATCTATTTATGTATATTGTTATATGTTAAGCCTCTGATTATGTTGCCATAAGTAAACCGTTCTCAGCTAAGCTGACGTGGAGAACTTTTAGCTTGACTAAATATTTAAATGCTTTTTATATAGTAAGGCTAAAAGAAGGTATTATATAGTTAGTAATCGGAAACTAGGCTTGAGCTCAAGCGAAGTTTAAGTTAAGGCGTGCTTTCTAGCTCATAGTTCTTTAATATTATAGAACAGATTAAAGACTAATATTCATATTTCACAAAGAAGTGGATCAGTTTTATATAAGATACGTTTGTAGATTATATTTAGTGACTTTTGGTAGCTTTTAGCTATAAAAATATTCTTTGAATCTTTTTATGTCAGACTCCGAATTCAGTTCCTTCTCTGGGATTTTAAGATCGCAGCATCTCTAACAATATGGAGGATATTTGGAAAGTTTCATATAGATAATAAAAATACTTAGGTCTATTTTGAACACATTCTTCTGAATTTTCCATTAAGGCTTAGTTCTAATCAAATAATCTAAAGTTTCCCTTGATCTAATTGCTCATATCTTTACCTTAATGTTTGGTATAATATGAACTAGCTTTCATTAGATAATTTCTGAATTTTTATATTATATTAAGTTTAGCTAAAGCACAGGGCATATTCGATTCGATTCCATCCCAATCTTCGGACAGTGTTTGTGGGCTTATCTAAACGAAAAATGCTATTAGAGGCGATTAATAGGCGCTGTCCATCATCTTCTGGCGACAATTGCCATTCGATTAACATCGAGATAAGCGCGTCCGCTGTCGTCTCTGCGAGCGTGTTGCTCGATTTTACCTTTATATACGTATATATATAAGTATATATTTGTATTTGTATATGTTTTCTTTTTATTTTGGCCTCTTCATTCAATATATGAACGATTAACAGCAAATTGCTCTCAAGTGCAAGAAACCAAAACGAAAACCTGTGAAATCTGATCAGGGGAAATTCTATATGGTTGGAGTGGGGTTCTACGTTCCAGGGCTTATCGCGCAATACGCCACTTAATAAAAATAAACGTTAATAATTGTATTTGTACAATTTAAATTATGACATTAAATCGCAAATACACACATATATATATATATATATATATATATATATATATATATATTTATATATATACATTGTATATATATGGAATATTTCTGATACGTTTCTATTTATAGACATTATATAGACTGAAGTCAGACGATCTAAGTATGGATAGCTATCACTCGGTTTAATTAGAAATATGAGTGCGAATTTCCGCTTGCCGTCTCCCACATACATTCACACCTATGGTAGTTCTTCAGTAGCGATACGATTTTTTGGACTAGCCACCTTATCACGCCATCCACTCGACACTCTTTCATATGCGGGCCCATATAACAACAATCGAATTAGTTGTTGGCCTGGCGCTCCTCCGATAACAATTATGGCAATTGATTCTTCCTCAATTGCCAGCGGACCAACTTCCAGCTTGCCTCAATTTATTGCGTGGGCGTGTCCACCATGCATATGAACTGCTGGTACGAACCTTACCTGCGTGCGAAAGAGACGCAACATACTCAATCACAGCAACCAATCAAAATCGAGCAGCATTTCGCTCTGCTTCACTGCAAAACAAATATCGATAAAGGAAAGCTTTGATGGGTGTACGAACAAATGCAGGGCAATTCAATTCAATTTGTGTTATTATTATTATAATTATTTGTTTATATACACATTTTATATATATTATATATATATAAATTATTATATATAAATAATTATTATTAGAAAAAAAATGAATTTTTAGTTTAATCTTTTCATTTTTATACCCTGATCCCATTGAAAATGGGAAATCAGGCTATAATGGTTTTTATGAAAATTTTCAAAATATTTATTATATCCATTTTTATTTATTTTCATCCATAATTATCCATAATTATTTATCCACAATTATGCAATTTATCCAATTATATATTTAATAGATTTTTTGAAGCGCTGAAACTTAATCTTAAGTTTAAGCTTAATACTGTTTTTAACTGAATTTGTTCCTAGTAAAAATATATTTAAAGCAAAGATTTGACTTACCCCAAAAATCAATGTGACTTTAGCTCTATGGTTACTAACACTTCTTCCTTTATATTCATTTAGTTAAATATTTTTATACATATATGTTTTTAAAATAATTAAATAGATTGTTTCAAATTGTTAAAGTAGAGCAAAAAAAACAATATTTATCATATTATAAAGAGGGGGTATAAAAAATATGAAAAATATAAAAATTTTATCAAATATACATAAAACTACTATATATAATATATATCATAATAATTTTTGCATTTTAATCATGTTTTTAATCGATAACAATACAACGCGAAAAGTTATCGATTATTTGAAACAAACTGGCGATGCTCCAGACGGACTTACAAACAAATTGTCTAGTTCTTGTAGGTTCTAAAGACGGATCGACAGGCAGACTGACAGGACTTAATCGACTCAGCTTGTCGTGCTGATCAAGAATACGTATACTTTATGGAGTCTGTCACAGCTTCTTCTGGCTGTTATATACATTTTAACGGGGCTCCACGTCTAAAATCTAATGAGAAAAGGCAGCATGCTCCCAGTAGGTGTGGACAAATAGTTATTAGCCAGTCCTTGGAAGCAATCTACAATCTACTGTAATTCTGTGGTTAAGGTTCCAGAACTGTCAAAAATACAGGTGCAATTCCTTGAAAGGGTCATCGAGGCATAGGTGAGGTCACCAATAGCTCAATTAACGATTTTTCGCGATTATTGCTGATTGCCACGCCCCAATGGGCATCGATTGGGCGTTTAATATTTAAATAGTAAAGTGAATTTTCCCAATTTCAAGTCTCTACGGACAGTTGAAGGAACAGCAAGACGGGCATTGCCCGAAGCCAATATACTCCTTTCATTGTGTCTAAAAATGTATAGTGAGAATTGTTTTTCATATTAAAATAGAAGGTTTAGACAAGAGTGATAAAAATAAATTCCTTAATTTAATAAGAACATTTTTCTAGCGTTATAAATGATAAAAAATAAATTATTGAAAGTTTGAACTCAGATAAGCTAATAATTTAGTCAAGTTCCAATAACGTTATATTTTTATTGTATATATATAAATATTTAGTATACTTTATGTTAAAAATAATTTATTTTGTTTTGCAGGTTTCAGCAATCCGGCCACCGCAGCTGCTGCTCTCTACTGCAATGCGGCATATCCGGCTGCCAGCTTTTATATGTCGAACTTTGGCGTGAAGCGGAAGGGCGGTCAAATCCGTTTCACGTCGCAACAGACGAAAAATCTCGAAAATCGCTTTGCCAGCTCCAAGTACTTGTCGCCCGAGGAGCGCCGGCATCTGGCGCTGCAACTGAAGCTGACGGATCGCCAGGTGAAGACCTGGTTTCAGAACAGACGCGCCAAATGGCGAAGGGCGAATCAAACGAAGCGGCAATCGAATCAAGCCACTGCCACGCCCACGACGAACAGCAGCAGCGCCTACGCGCAGTCTGGGGCGGGGAGAGGGGCGCACAGCGAGGACGAGGATCGTATGTACCTCTCAGCGGACGAGGAGGACGACGAGGATGATGAGGAGAGCAATGAAGAAGACGTTGCCCAGCACGTGGCAACGTGACCAAAAATTCAATTTAAGATTTCTATTTTTATATATAGTTTTAATAAATTTATTACATTTCATTGTTGTTGTTGTTGTTGCTGCTGCTAATGGAATTGATAACTGTCCAAGCAGTTGCAGTTGGGCAGATTGCAGCGAGGCGCCAAGTTCGACAAATGGCCCATGGTAACGGGAAACGAGAGCGGCACAAACCATTTGGGATAGGCGCAAATGGCAGCTGCAGCCGTCGACGAAGCCTTTGATGCGTACTGTAAAATAGAAGTTGACTCTTGAGAAAGCGTACAAGCGATTGTGCAATGCTCTGTTCAAAGCTTAAGTAGTGTAAACTGAAGAGTAAAGACATCGCTCGTTAAGGAGAGTGGGAAAGGTCAGATAAACATGAGACAACTCATAAGCATCTCATAGGAGGGAAAGGAAGAGAAAGAAATAGAAAGACAGAGAAAGAGAAAGAGAAAGAGAGAGAGAGAGAGAGAGAGAGAGAGAGAGAGAGAGAGAGAGAGAGAGAGAGAGAGATAGAGATAGAGATAGAGATAGAGATAGAGATAGAGATAGAGATAGAGAGAGAGAGAGAGAGAGAGAGAGAAATATATAGAGAGAAAGAGAAGAAGAGACAGCGAGGGAAAGAGAGAGAAAGAAAGAAACAGAAAGCAAGAGAGAGAGAGAGAGAGAGAGAGAGAGGGCGAGATAGAGCGAGTGATAGAGACAGATACATAGGTGGGACGTTAAGAGTTCAAACTGAGAGTTTTGGTAATTTAAATGTCAAAACCCAACTGCGCTATACCCTGTATCCAATTTAAGAGGAGGCTACCAAAATTATCCACGATAGAAGAGTCAGATAAACATAAAAGGCGATTATTTATATACTGACTACGAAATACCCTGCTGACGAAAAGGGAAGAGATAGGTAGAGAGAGTGAGATAGAGATATTATTGTGAAAGAAAAAATATTTCTAGGGTAGACTGTTGGATTTGGTAAAATAAAGAATCAGGTGATTGCAAAGGCCGCAAGTGTGTAATATCCGACTGCGCAATACTCTGTTAATAATTTAAGATTATTAAGAGAACTCTAGTCAAAGCAGTTTATAACCAAGTAGAGCGAACATAAAACTAGACTTGATAAGACTTCGCACACAGTTTAAGAAGAGAGTATTATAAGCATGGCTATCCGAGATATATTGACTCAGTTTTCGAATAAAAATTGCATAAGACTTTTATATACAGGCTATAGAGACTCACCTGTTCGGCTATAACCGGTCGAAAGGCGCTGCTCCGTGGTGGCATGGCCAGCTGCAGGGATTGCAAAGGTTGCGACGGCAACTGGGGCAGCAGCTCCACTGTCGCCTGTTCCGTCGGTGGCGTCTGGGCAGAAACGTCGGAGACGTTTTCGATGGCGCGTATCAAGTCCAAGTCGCAGCGCTTGAGCACCAGCTCCAGCACGGATCGCTTGCGCTGTGGAAAGAGCTGGGCCAGCATATCGATCGCACTCTGGGAGACAAATTCGCGACGCGTCGCACTCAGATCCTCGGCTACAGCCACGGATTCAGGCTGCGCTTCCTGCTTTTGCAGCTCTTGTTCTTGGTGTTGCTCTTTACCCGTCTCCTGCTCGTGCTGCTGCTGCGGCTGCTGCTGTGGCTGTGGCTGCTCCTTGGGCTGCGTAACGGTCAGGCCAAAAATGCTGCCCGGCGGCAATGCTTCGATTTTGCGTCCCGTCTTATTTGCCACCAGGCGCAGGGCAATCGCATCCTCCACCGCCTGCTGACGCTTCAGGGCAACCTGCGCACAAACCAAATGCCAATTGAAATTAATATGCGACAAGTGTTGGAGGCGACTTTCCAGAATCTCTGTTTGACTTGGCGTGCGGTAAACAGAAAAAGCAAAACAAAGCACCAAAACCAACTGCAATTCCTTTGGGTATCACACATGATAACAGAATCGGGTAGTTCCCAAAAGCACAAACACCAAAGGAGATATAAGTATATCTAGTATGTTCCAATTTAAGATGTAATTCTCTATGTTACAGAAAATCTCCCTAAAACGCCTATGAGCTCTTTGGCGTTTCGACCACTCAATGAAAAGCACAATGAAATGAAAACTCCAATTTATACGAAACTGGGAATCGTCTTCAGCCAGTTAGTTTTCCCCTCATGTAATGCGAGCCCGTTGAACACTTGTGTAAACATTTGGTAAGCGGATATTTTAGGTCGATTTGTTCGTACGCTTTGACAACTTTCCATCATCAGCAGCATCGGGCAGAGGCATTAACCAAGTCCGAGAGACCAGAAGAAGTTTAACACAAATCTGAGCAGAATTTCGTATTTCATTTGTTTGCCAAAGCCAGGGAGCAGGAGCAGGAGCAGGAGCAGGAGCAGGAGACAGGCCCTGCCTTGTTTGTCTTTCAAATTATGACATTGCATTGGCTAATCTAAAGACAATACTAATGGAATAACTATTAAGAGCTGAGAAGCATCAGCAATGAGTTAATTGAAACAGCTAAGAATGATAGGGTTAAGAAAGAAGAGTATAATTGTGGCAGAAGCTAAACGTGTAAAGTCTATAATTAAATAAAATATTGTCAAAAGGAAACAAAGAAGTCAAAAACTCAGAGTATTTATTTCGGGCGAAGCGTTATTGGTATAGCTTCCTATGTCATAGAGGGTGCAACAGAATAGGATATGAAAAGAAGATTGAAATTTAAAAGATACACACGTTATTTTGTTGGGTTGTTATTCTCCACTTAAACCAACACATACTACTTTATCCTTGAAATAAATAACATATATTAAGGATCAAGAGCCAAAAGCGAAACTCGAAGAGTGACGAATGATCAAATCTTGATCAACAAAAGACGTATCTTTAGCAATTGCGCATGTTTTTACAATCGCGATCAGTCGTTCGACCTGTAAAGACGTGAATTCGAACAGCCTTCGCTTAAGCTCTACTGCTGCAGAGTTCTAAAAATAGAACTTTGCGGTGCATTCTTCAACGCAACAGCAACAAAAACCGCACACGCAGCGTTTTCTTATCGCTTGCTTCCGCGTAACTCAATTGCTTTAATTGCAATTTACGAAATTTCGTCGCTTGGCGCGAGTGCGCCTGCACTCAAAAGCACAATCCGCGATGACATCTAATGTCAATAACCTCGCTACAGCTGTAAAGGTAAATGCAGAAATGCAAGCCCAGCTTAACGTTGTGATGGCAAATAGGCAAGCCTCCATCATGCCAATAAACTCAAAAATAGATATCGCCTCCGTGCAAGGCATCACTAACAACAAAAACACGAAACGTAAACAGCCAAATTCACCAAAAACCATCAAGAAAAGGCTCATCTTCGACGAACCAAGCACCAGCAATGCAGCATTAATATCAGAAAATCGATTTTCACTGCTCGTAGAAGAAGATGAAGACTACAGCGAATCACCTGTAGCTCCAGAAGCCCCAGTATTGACCGACCAGCAAACTACTCCGAAACCTCGTCCGCCCCCCATATGGTGTCCAAACATCAAGTCTGTGGCCCTACTTCAACAGATAATAGATAAAGTAATTGATGCTAAATCATACGTAATTAAGCCAAAGAAGAATAACATAGGTGTATTAACCCAATGCAGTGAGGACTATCGCAGAGTTATAGACCACTTTACTAAGCTGGAATTGGAGTTCCACTGCTACCAGCTTAAGGAGGACAAACCATATAGAGTCGTGTTCAAAGGGCTTCACTCCAGCACTGATACAACACTAATTAAAAAGGAATTGGAAACCAAAGGCCACACAATTACAAATGTGCACAACCCACTGAGCCGTATGGACAAAACACCGCTAAATATATTTTTTGTTGACGTGGCTCAGGCCCCCAACAACAAAGAAATTTTGGACATTCGAGTTGTCTGCAGGCAACGCTGCACAGTGGAACTGCCAAGAAGATACAACGACCTGACACAATGCCATCGCTGTCAAGAATTTGGACACACACAACGCTACTGCCACAAAGCTCCCAGATGTGTGCGTTGCGCCGGGAAACACGCATCCAAAGACTGCACCCGCGAAAAGGACCAGGCACCAACTTGTGTGCACTGTGAGTTACAGCACCCAGCCAACTATAAGGGCTGCCAAGTATACAAGCGGTTGCGCAAATTGCAATCCCCAGCACAAAAAAGGAGTCCCACACAAACACCGTCTACGGGTCCGAGTACTGCTTCCGAAATTACAAGGCCCCGGAGCATTACCCAAGCCACGAGCTTTGCAACGCCTATTAGTGGTGTTTCTTACGCACAGGCCGCTAGAGGTGGACCGTCAAATAAGAATACCACAAGTGACACTTTGTTCACTGAAATGCTTCAGCAACAACAACGTCAGTTTGACGCAATTAATGCCGAGCTCAAAGCGATGCGAGAAGTACAATCCCAACAAGCAACCATGCTAAACAGTTTAATGGCCATCATAACCAAGCTTGCCTACAAATAATGGCTTTACGTGTGGGTATCTGGAACGCCAATGGCCTGAGAAACAAGACTCAGGAACTGGCTGCGTTTCTCTCACAAGAAAACATAGATATAATGTTAATAACAGAAACTCATGAGTGCCCCACTACACAAATTTTCGGATACGAACACTATCAGGCTCATGGTGAAGGAGCAAACTGCTTTGGTGGATCCTCAATCCTCATACGAGCAACAATACCGCATACACCTTTACTGCCAATTTGCAACGCAACAATGCAGGTCTCAGCCATCACCCTGCCTACGTCTATTGGAGCGATCGAAGTTGCGTCAATTTATCTTCCGCCAAACACTGGTCTGTGTGATCATCACATGGAACAGGTTCTAGGCCAAAGGTTGAATAAGACCCTCATCGGCGGCGACTGGAATGGATGGCACCCATTTTGGGGAAGCAATAGTGCGAATCGTCGCGGAGAAGTCATATTTGAGGCGATTCAAAACTTACAATTCAGCATATTGGCGACTGGAGCCCCCACCCGTTACCCAATTAATGGACACAGGCCCTCGGCAATCGACTTCGCTGTCTACAAAGGCATCTGTGACCGGCAATTGACCATTGAAGAATCCTTGGACCTATCCTCTGACCACCTGCCACTAATAGTCACAATCCACGCGCAGCCACAGCCCTTGCCCATTAGGAAACAACTACTGCCAGCAGGATCAGATTTAGGAGTCTTTAGGCGCGAGCTCCATTACTCTTTGCACATAGAAATGGAACTTAACACTCCTGAAGACGTGGACTACGCAGCAAACAAACTGCAGGAAGAAATAGTCAAAGCTGCGCACCAAGCCGCCCCACCATCTTGCCAAACAAGACAACAGTCTCCGTACAACATCCCCCTCACCTTGGAGGCCCAACACCTACTAATACACAAAAGATGGGCCAGGAGACGCTGGTTAAGATTACGCACGCCTGATGCCAAATCCATGTACAACGAAGCCACGAGGCATCTTAAAGCTGCTCTCGCCCTGCTTCAAAAGAGGTGTATCAGCGATGCGCTGGTACGAGCTGAATCGCCCACTGACGCAGAGTTTCAATTATGGAAATTTACAAGAAAGCTCAAACGGCAGCCAATACGACGTCATCCCATTCGGAGCATTTCTGGTTCCTGGCACATTGGAGACGAAGCTCAAGCTGAGGCTTTTGCAAACCACCTTCAAGACCAATTCACGCCGGTGATTACCGCAGAGGCCTCAGAAATCGAAGCAACAGAAGACATCGTTCTCTCGCCCCTCCCAGCTGAAGACCAGATAACTGGATGTACAAAAGAAGAGGTTCTTGAACACATCAGAAGAGTGAAGGCAAAAAAATCCCCTGGATATGATCTAATAAACGGCAGAGTCCTTAGAGCACTGCCTGACTCCACCATAGACTACATAACTATGGTGTACAACGCCATGCTCCGCATCCGGCACTTTCCAGCCTGCTGGAAGCGCGCCGTGATTGTGATGATTCCTAAGCCTGGCAAACCCGTGGGAGAAATTGAGTCGTACAGACCAATTAGCCTGTTGCCAGTACTCTCCAAAATATTCGAAAGAATATTTCTGGAACGAGTACTGACACATCTGGGACGCCAGGAGGCCATTCCAAACCATCAGTTTGGCTTCAGGAGACAGCATGGAACACCGGAACAGGTTCACAGAGTTGTGCACCATATCCTTGGAGCCTTTGAAGAAAAGATGTACTGCTCTGCCGTCTTTTTAGACATCAAACAGGCGTTTGATCGAGTTTGGCACCTGGGACTGCTGCAGAAAGTGAGGACCACCCTTCCAGCCCCATTTTTCGCGTTGCTATCCTCATACCTTATTGGAAGAACCTTCCAAGTGTCAAGGGGGCAAACAGTATCCTTGACTAGACCAATTATGGCTGGAGTACCACAGGGTAGTGTTCTAGGCCCAACACTTTATACTTTATTCACAGGAGATATGCCAACTCCCGAGCCAAATATAGGAAGTACAGATGCAGTACTCATAGCGACCTATGCAGATGACACCGCCATCTTATCACGTCACGTATCTGCGCAAGAAGCTTCAGACTCACTACAAAAATATCTGGACTCTTTCGGACGCTGGGCAAAACGGTGGTGTATCACCATTAATGCACAAAAGTCTGTACATACTACCTTCGCCACTAGAAGAGGAGATTGCCCAAGCGTTGCATTGGGGCCCACTATTCCCAAAGCCTCAAAAGTAAAGTACCTTGGTATCACTCTTGACAGAAGGCTGACTTTTAAAGCGCACATAAGTCAAGTAACCTCAAAATGCAAAAGCAAGCTAAAAACCCTCGACTGGATGCTGAGAGCTTCAAGCAAGTTGTCTTACAGCAGCAAGGCCGCCATCTACAAGGCAATAGTTG